TATGGATATTACGGACCGACAATGCGAAAAACCATCAATTGCTGGTTTAAACGCCCAGAACACGTAATTGAATGTATATTCTGGTTTACCTGGAATCTGCTCAAGCTTCCATTCAACAACCGTCCCAGGGTTAAACTGCTGCAGTGCAGCCATGTACCTAGGCAGATCTGCAAATGACTTATCCCAGTTACCATAGAATATTTCAAACGCTCGTTTGCGCCCGAGATATGCCTTTCTTTTAGTAATGGTATGGCCATGTTCCTGGTGGACTGCCGTAATGCATTCTTTGATTTTATACCTTATGGACCCTTCGATGTGTGGAATAAGAACAAGAGAAATCAAGTCAATATCCAAGTTGAAGTGATTCCCGTTGAATGTGTCCATTTCGCATGTGTGGGTGGGATTGTATTTACCCACTTTCCACAGACTGTCTTCTTCTTGCTCGCACGCAACATCCAATGACATGGCCAAAACCACCTGCAACAAACAACCTTGTATACAACTAGACTTGACTCTCATACCGTCATCTCACGACACTCTTTTCTGTTATGCATTTTACAAGCCCTGCTTAGGCGCGCTTTATCAGGAAAAAGTATGCCCTTTGCCAGCACCGTTGGTCTACACTCATCCCACATTGATGTCCGAATTTCATCAAAATCCCTTGTGAGAGCTTCCACATCCGGCATGCTTGTCAAGTTATCAAGGTAAGGAATTTCTCTTGAATGAAACGATACTTGGGACTCGTACACTCTTCGTCTAGGGGGTGGAGTATACTCTCTCGTCAAATCAGGTCCTTCCTTCTCATCCTCCTCATCACCATCCTCACGAAGAAAGGGTGTCTCGTCTCCAGATTCATCAGCATTGTTGTCGTAATCACTATTTTCTTCCTCACTTTGTGCATCTGCCAGATCCCGATTTAATACGTCATCTTCGGGCAATTGAGTGAGTACATTTGGTTCAACTTGCTCGTTTTCACTGCACAAACAACAAAATAATAAAATGCTGAATTTAATAAATACTTTCCATATAGCCGTATCACTTCACTTACAAGTCGTAATGTGATGAAATTCCATGATGAACATTTTCATTTAGGTGATGGCTCCCGGATGGACCACCATGATCCAACACACCAAAACTATGCTTGGGTTCATAATTTGTAAATTCATATCCGGCTTGTACCCCCTGTTAAATATATGAACGTTAATACAAATTCAATACAACAAAAATGTACATCGTAACACAAAGTAAAATTGAAGCTTACCACTCGTCTTGTGAATTATGTAAAGCAGGCGGGGATAAGTTTAAATCAAGGAAAACTCTTTCATCCGGAACTTGTCCGGCAAAAATTCCTCCAGAATAGCCATCCGATGACTGGGGGTTATCCGGAACCTGTCCGACAACCTCATTGTTTGGAACGTCTTCGACCTTAACGTACATATCCAACATATTTATTACAAGATATTTCCGGTATTCATCCGGAGTCCTCATAAAATCCCTCAAAGTTTCATCATCGTAAATGTTTAACTCCGAGTAAAAAGCAGCCCCTTGCGGAGTGACGGAATACAGATATCTTCCGGTTACTTTAAGTATCACTGAACGTTTCCTCACACCCATTTTTTTGCATAACAACGATATCAAATTGTCGTACTCTATTGTAAGTGGTAATTTAACATGACCCTGTGGAGATAAACTATACCTCATAGAGTTATTCTCCATCACAACCTCAACCCCCCAATATAATGAAACTCTTATTCTACGCTCTTCAGACATTACGAAAAAAATGCTTCAGAATTTAACAACAAGAAAAAATTGAACGGGAGTTAGAATTTTATGTGAACGAATTTTCCTAAAATCCTAACCACTNAAATTAAATTGAACGGGAGTTAGAATTTTATGTGAATGAATTTTCCTAAAATCCTAACCACTTTATATAGGAAATGGCTAGCCCGGGAAATGGAATTTTTCGGCCATATAGCGTTCTTTAAATATACGCTATACACATTTAAATTATTGTGTTTGTCAGTTCACTTATTGGTAGGTCCATATACAGGGTATAGCGTTTTTTTTGGGCGCTATATGTATAGCGTGCAAATAAAAGACGCTATACCTTAACGGAAGACGTTACCGTTAATGTATAGCGTCTTGTTTTTGCACGCTATATACAGAAATGTATTTTTTTTTAAACACCTATTAACGTAATTTGAGTCCAAAAAAATAATATTAAGGTTCCGGACTCTTGTAGTGTAGGACGATTTTGAGGAAATTTCGCCAAGTCCTAGAATCCGCAGTCTAATTCCGTTCCCCTCTTAAAATAATATATTTATGGCATAAAACAACTAAAAAGTACGGCGTACTATATTTTAGACCTGCCAGAAAACCAGTGATTCGTTAACTTGTAAGTCCAAATATCAAGAAAATGATATAAATGGTCTTTATAATTGGCAACTAACTTCAATTCACTGACCATCTTAATTAGTAATTGTTACATATCAACAATGGTGTATGCAGATATTTTTAATAATTTGTGTCAATATTTAAAGAAGGCAATAAATGAAGAAATTACGATAATAATAAACGTGTTATTATTTAAATTTGTACCCAATATTTTTAGTTTTCTTGTTATTTATACATATATATTTACTCACTAAGGATAAGATATATCCGCCCCTGCATACCAAAGTCTGATGGTAACCTGTCTATACCATATATATAGGAATTTTTACCTATTTATACCATATATGAAATCTTATTACCCTCAATGTTTAAGGTTTGATTTAATTACAAACCCGTATACCAAATTACCAATCATNGTTTCGAGAATTTGAATTGTAGTTTTGGAGAAAAATACGCAGATGAGAAATCTCCTTTCCCTTTTAAAACTTGAATTTAATGTAGAATCAATTAACACCAAGATTCTTTCCTTAATTTTAGCGTGTTTTTAGGGAATATTCTGCCCTTTTAATGCCTAATAGTCGAATGGTATATAAATTGTAGTTAAAGTGTGGACTGGACGGGTAATTAACAAACTATGCACATTTAGGATAATAAGGTTTCATATATAATATAGTTAGGAAAAAAATCCCCAAGTGGGATTTATATTACGCTGAAAGGGTACAAACTTTTGACGCAACTAAAACTCTTTCACTACACCTTCCAACATTGGGCGAAAGCCAAATTAAAACTTGCTCCCATGTAGAGAGAGCTGAATAAAGTATTCCTATACATTATGTATGGAGGAAAATGTCTTTCAAAAGATGTTTTTTCTTTTTTTTGTGAAAATATTTCACTAAGAGAAGTTATTTAATGGATATTTTTCTAATTTTTGATTGGGTATAAAAGTAAATGACATATGATAAGTACAAAGAATACTATACAATATAGTTGACCATGTTGTTAAGTAAAGGGTAACATGATGTTTATTGAAGTAATTGGTAAATAATACGTAGTAAGAGTTGAGATAATTATAAAAGAAACTATTTTTACCTACAAGCAATGTTTTAAAAGGTGGGGGCGTGAGGCGAGGCGTTTTACCTCTGACGAGGCGAGGCGTAAGCCCTGAGATATGGGACGTAAGTCCCACGGATCTTTAAATTTTACTAATTTCAAGAATTTTAAGATAGTATAAAATAAAAAGTAATTATAAAAATTACATTAAAATTACAAAATTATGACAAATAATCTATTTAAAATGTTTATAAATTATAATTCAACTATGAATAATGCGAAAAGTATGACATATATCATAATATGCAAATTAGCTGCAACATCGTTACAATTCAAACATCAAGAAATGTATTCGATACGAAATTTTATATGTATTTCTTAAGGAGTAATGAATCTTGAAAGAATTTCGATATTATAATTTGATATTTTTTTAAATACTCCTTTTATTTAATATGCTTTCTATTTGAATGAGAATTTATATAAAAACATAATTACCAATTTAAATATGGTTCTCTAGCATCATTTTTTTTAAGTTTCAACAAGTTAATAAAGTGACACATAATTCACCATACTATACTATGATAACTAATTATTTGTAAATAGTTACTATCTAATACTAAGTTATTAAATTAATAAGTATTGTATCTCGTAAATGTGAAAAAAAATAATATTTAAAAAAATAATTATAAAAAATTATGGACTATTATATAATAAAGACATAACAAAAGTTAATAAATAAATACTTTTTAAATGAAAATTTTACTTAGTGGATAACGTACTTTTAATTATGACATAAAATACTCTCAACTTAATGATTATAATTAAGAAAGAAATAATTTTCAATAGTCAACAATTTATTAAAAAAAATTGAGGATTTACCAGGTAGTTACACGCAATTGTATAAAGTTCTAATAGGCAAGCCTAGTGCTGGGCATTGGGTGTGTTCAGGGCGTAAGTCCCGACAGCTGAACCGTAAGTCTCACGAAACTAAGCCCACACATAAGCCCAGGGACGTTTTACGAGTACTCCGCCCCAGGGCGAGCCACGGGCGAGTTCCAATTTTGCCTTTTAAAACAGAGCCTACAAGCAACGAGTTTTTCCCCTTTTGGAAGAATATATTTCTTGGAGAAAATATTCTCTCCTGCTAAAAGTACCGCCGAAATTTCACCGAAAAAAAACTTTAAAAAAATAATATGTTCCCAAACTAAATATATTTAAAACGGTTTCACTTTCATAGACTGACTATGGTAAAGAATTTTTATACTATCAAATCAGCTAAAAAATAACTACAAGTAACCTAAAAAATAAAGCAGACACCTTGTTACAATATGTTAAATTAGAACAATGTTTTATAAAGTTGAAATCCTAATTGAAATAATTGCAGAATAAATATACAAATTTGCTGTCAAAATTAAAGTACTTTGACCTTCATACTCCAAACACGGAAGTAGTCCTGCAACCTTTGGCTGCTTAACCAACACCTGCTGCTTGCTGCAAGTGTTAGCTACAGCTTATGGTACAATGCTATGCCATAGAAGTAAGGGTACAAAACAATGTGAAAGTTGCCAACTGCTTTCTTCTCAAATTAATAGACTCCACTGGCAGACGATAGCGACACAGCTATGTCATTACATTATACAATCCTCGATGCAATTGTACTGCTAGCATACTCATCTATATTACCAAACAAAAGCTTCATGACTTTCCACTTATAGACAATCCAATAAAAGGCCAGTCAGGTGCACTAAGCTCTCGCTATGCGCAGGGTTAGGGGAAGACCGGACCACCAGGGTCTACTGTACGCAGTCTTACCATACATTTCTACAAGAGGCTGCTTACAGACAATCAATCCAGACAGGAAATTGATAAAACCAAGAAAAAGTTGTCTAAATCAATGTGCTCACCTAATTAGACCTGCTGTTTCCTCAACTGAATCATGGAAAAATCCATATACAACTTATGTACATTGTATCATGAAAAAATTATTCTAGCGGTCAGTTTGTATGCTTGAATTGTAAATAAAAGGCATACAAGGACATCCAAAGACAAAAAGGAGAGAATCCTGGCAGTTTCTGATTGGTACCGTATATGCTTCGAGTCTATTGATGCTTCTTGTGTGACTGCTCCATTTGTTCCCAACAAGGATAATTCAGTACCCCGTGAACAGTATCTGGACTTTTCATGGAACTCGCTCGGCTATAAAAAATCCAAGCATCAAATGCATCTAGTGATTGTTGAGCACCAGCTGAAGAGAGCGGAAAGTTAGAGCAGCCTCTGAACATAATGAATCAACGATGTATTTCTTTCCGTCTGGTCAGCCTACACAAAGAATGACAAATAAGATAGATTCTGATATCAAGAACACAGGATTGGTTTCACTAACAGCAAATGGTGAAAGGAAAGTGTAGAACACGAACTAGTAGCAACAAGCCGTTGGAAGTATCAAAAAGAAAAGGACATGATAGCTGCTGATTAACTACTCATTCAACAATTTTTTCATATATCAGAAAAAATGCAAGAAAATTCAGGGGCTATTTTTCTTTCAGATTCCTTTAACTGGTAAAACTGTTACTATTATATTGAAGGAGACTGGATGTGAGAATATAGAATCTTTCACTTAATACACAAACCATACCATTTAATGAAAAGTAAAATTTTGAGGACTAAAGGATATAGAATCTTTTTGAAAAATATCATGCCAAACAAGTAATCAGTAGTTCATAATTCCTTATTCAATTGATTTCTTCCAACAGATCAGAGTTCTAAATTCTTTAAAGTTGAGTCAGAAGTTTGATATGTTGGATAATATAGCATCCATCAAGTCAACATATGGTGGCAACATTATGCTGGTTATAATAAAACCAAATCAAGCCCCCAGTCATGAATGGAAACATAAAGGGCAGAATAGCCATTACCAAATGAAGCAGCTAGGGCTGATAGCTGCATGGTGGACCAAGAACAGCACCAATGCATAGTTCCCGCAGAGATATTTCTGTCCTCCACAAGAGATCATCGTAATCTTGATAATCTCTTCCTCTTTCGATTCTTTTTAGCAGTTGAACAAATTAAACTGTTGTTGGCGCTGGAGGGGAGAGCAATAGCTGATGGTCTGCCAACAGATGTTCTGCCCTTTTTAGCGACCCATCTCACAGGCATATTATTTACTATGGTGCCAATATCATGAGACTGGTTTAGCTCAACTAGCTTCCGAATTTGATCAAGCATCTGGTGTGTCCATGCTGTTGACAGATCCAGTGCCATTGAATCATCCACCGGTTTTCTCGTTAGACTCACTAGAACCTCATTAAATGATTGAAATGACATAGAAGGTCGACATGATTGAAGTTTCCCACTTATCATATTGACTTTAATAATATGCTTGCACATATTTCCTTGCATTGACCATTCACAATCACAATGGGCAAATTCTGATCCAGGATTCCAAACTAGGTGTGTTTTACTGTTGTCTTTCTGGCTCAAAACTTTTGCGAAGGAGTTATCCTTGTTATCCAAGGTCACAGAATCATCAGGAATTTGCAGAGCTCGATGCCAGGATGTGGTAGCAATATACTCCTCCTTCACATTTTGGAAAGAATCACTTTCATCTGCATATCGGTCAAGCCAGTAACTGGAGTGTAACTCAGTTGTCAATTTGTGAACTAACCAATCAACTCTCTGGAGTGCCCCAAGATGTGAATCATCATATAGTCTGACTTTCAACTTGACATGATATGCTTCTATTGCACCAGATGCTTCCTGGCTCGCAAGAGGTAACGTTCTCATTGTAGTAAGCCACATTTCTGTATTATGAAAATATAAAAATTACAGGGAAATACAGGAAAAAGATAGAAAAAGATTCCAAAAAAAATACTTTAAATATAGTAACGTTATATTGATTCGATCTAATTTATTTATTTTGTGTATGATAGCTTAGATGTTCTTTTTCTTCTTTCTTTGAAACAGAATTTTTTGCAAGGTGAAAAAACCAGATAACAAACCAGAGAGATGATCTAACCAAATTTAGGCACCCAAGTGGCTTTGAAATATTGCAAGAAGGCCGTTTGATCAACAAAATCTTGAGAAAGTTCTTCTAAAGCAACAAAAGGATCACTTCCATCCCAAATGCTGTACACTGTTTCACCTAGACGCTTAAATATCTCTCTTTGAACTTCAACATTACTACATTTCTTGATGATATTTCGCAACCACGATCTACGAATACGCCAAAGTGAAAATAGAACTGGACATGAAAATATCTCCCTGAAAAGACATCAAGATCAAGTAAATCTGTTATAGAACTATGTGATGAACTTGACATAGAGAAATAGTAGACCACAAGAATTTCACCTTATGGGGTCAATTTCTGCTGCAGCATCGTCGATTAGGACACCATTGACCTTCCATGTTGGATCGACAGCACGGACACGATCATGAAGAGCTTTCATCCATTTACTCACGTCAGGCTTGGCAATTGTGCGGGTGACGACCCAAGCAACAGGAAGGGCATGCTGTCTTGAATCAAACACAAGAAGTGTGCACAAAGGATACTGCAAAATTACGTAGATTAAGAAATTAGAACTATGTGAGATGTTGTCAAGGTTAAAAGGAAGAGACACCATGCTTCATTACCTTTAGTTTCTTTATACCAAATGTTGAATCAACTGCTATTAGACTACGATGTCCAAAACGAATCATTTGTTGTAACTGCCAGTCAGTTTGGATACCTAAGATGAATGGATCATGTTCCGATGTATCCTGATAAAAGAAAATAGATTTCTTATTCCGCTCGACCCACAATCTTATGCTAGCTTGATCATCTAGATCCAATTCATGAGTAGATCTTTTGATAATCATGCCAAGTTTGTGGACATACTGAGCAGCAAGGCTATTCACTTTCGCATCAGAACCACAATAACGTTGAATACCCTCAATATGTTTTTCTAAAACATTCTTCTCAGGGATGCCAAGATAGATCATAGACATAGTTTGTTGTTGAATCTCATTGCAAACATATGGAATCTTTTTTGCACCAGGGCCAATAGCATCTCTATCAAGCGGCCCATGGCATAAAGAACCGGACTTGTTAACATGACGCCTGTTGTTATATATAATAAGTGCAAGAGATGGACGGTTATACAAGCGCTTCACTATGAAATGGCAAGTGCAGCCCCTCATGGACTGGGGTCTAGCAGCTCGGTTTCGAGTGTTAAGCCGATATCGTCGGCTTGGTAAAATATCGCCACCTTCTCCATAATTTTCAGGGCCGAAGGAACACCAATACCTGAAATAACAGCATATCAAGATATGAAGGAGAAACTTGTAAACAATTTTACCTTACAAATTCATATCAGTGTAGTCAAAAGCAAAAAGCACCAAAGGGGCTTTAGCTAAGAAAAGCACAAATATAGAAAAAAATAAAAAATAGAAATGTAATGCAAGAAAATGTAACTATAAACACCAAGAATAATTATTTGGACAAAAGAACGGAAACGATAATTAAGCTATATATATGTTGTTGTGCCCTTAAAGACAGAATCTATCGGTAAAGGTGCACATGCCTTAGCACCTTGACGTCTACACTAAAGTGCTAATTAAGCGAGGCAAAGTGCACAGCCTGCATTCACCGGGCTTCAGGGCTTAACTGTGCTTTAACGCAGCCTTTAACAACACTGATTCGTATTATACCAAAAGTTATCAAAGAGGCCCTCAAGGCTCTATTCTGCAATAGTCTGTAATAAGAGTCGACCCTTACTATTATCTAAAGTTCATGACTTTTCAAACAGCTACAACTAGTTGTTACTCCCTCAGTCTCATGATTTTTGTCCGTAAAAAGTCAAATTGGATTTCACTAAAAAGGATGTCTGATATACTTTTATTTTTATGTGTTACTTGAAAGTTAGAAACCTTCTTATGTACATGTTATGTACTTTGTTCTTTGCCACCAAAATTTAGTCCTAAGATGACTTTGATCAAATCTAGCTTGACTTTAGAAATCAAGTGTTGGTAACATATCCGGCCGAAAGTATTCCAGGGAATATAGTGGTGACCGAGGAATTTTAATCAATTCTCTTCCTTACCATAATGGTAGTAATGCTCAGGAAGCCACAAACAAGTAAAGAAAGAGAAGTGACCCATACTCGAGGTTGTAGAAGAACTGAAGAGCTCCCTTATAAAAACGGGGGAAAAAAGTAGAGCTCAAATCTGCTGAAAAGGATGAAAAAAATAGAGATATCAAAGGTCTGGAAAAGGTTGGGAGTATTTTAGGATTCTGAGTAAATTCCAGAAGCCTTTCCAGTCATTACCTATTTCCATTTTATACAGTTAAAAACTAATTGGTTAAGCAAGTGATGTGATGCTAAATTGAGCTAATGCAGCTCCTTTCTTAGCTCCATAGAAGTCACGAAATTGCTATTTACTGAGGCCTTCAGAGTAGAAAATATTTTTCTTATTTTTTTAATCAAGAAACCTCAAGGATGAGATCATATCATCCAGAATCCCTGTAAACCTCAAGGAGTCTATATCCAAGGCCTAAGATCATCACATGGAAGAACTAAATCCAGTTTCCTCTAGATGTGGAGGTGGAGGCGAGAAGAAAGATAAGTGGAGGAATAAGAGAGAATGCTTTACCCTTGGTAAAGGTCAATCACACCTTACATCCACAAAAAATCAAGACCAACAACAGCTTTTTCGAGGCAGTAGCAATCCACTTTCAATACTGGACTCCAACTAGATTAAAAAAATGACAACTTTTTGAGCTATCTTTGATTAGACATAGACAAGGTTATTAAGCTTCGACCCCAACGATGTCTAAATACATGAATGGCTGACACAGGATTGTGATATGACCTTTAAACTAATTACAAGACATTGAGAATTTACCAAAATAAATTGGACATAAAACTTTGTTACATAAAGTAAACTTAAGAAGCTTAAATTTACTAGTACACTCAAAAATTACTTAGAAAGACTGAACATTGCTTCATCCTCCATCATGAATCGCGTTTAAATTAAGCAAAATCCTCATAGTTAGCCATTTAAGTTCATTTTTTGTTTTGTCCAAAAACAGGAAAGTTCTACGTCCTTGATTCTCCATGCGCTCTCCTCCAAGAGTCAAATATTTACAAAGAACTCTCCATCCAGAAGTCCATTAGTTCAGAAGTTCATACCTAAATTAATCCACCAAGGGATCAAATAACAAAATGTTCTCATGAACACATAGTTTAAAACTAGTAGAACAAAGAAAGAGGTCAGCATGACCCTCCACATTATTCAATACAACAACAACAACAACAACGACCCAGTAAACCACAAAGCGGGGTCTCGGGAGGGTAGTGTGTACGCAGACCCTCCACATTATTCATTTCCAAAAAAAAAAAAAAAAAAAGAGTAGAAGATAGCAAATGATATATCCTGAAATTGTTGAAGCACTTACAGCCTGTACTCCAAATAGTCATCATGCTTATAATCCTTTAAGCTGCCTCTGCTTCTTTTCCTTCCCCTCTCAATGTGAAACCTTGTTGGGAATTCCACGTTACAACACTCTCCAATGATAAATGCATCAACTCGATCATAAAGAATAAGGGCAACATCATCATAACGTTCTACATTTCCGACCTTGGTCCAACTCAAATCAGATGCTGAGAAGTCTTCACCAGGTGGATCTTGCACGGGAAGGTTCAGAATGGACTCAACTATCTCCATCTTCTAAAATATTCTGAACATTTAGTAAGGTATGTTACTAAGGCGGCCTATTGTTTACAATCAAACTAGCAACAGATAATCAACTTTGAGAAGGAAATCAATTGTGCAAAGATAATAAGTTTAGCTGCCTCCATTGGACCACATAATCTACATGCATTTTAATTTTAATTTTTTTAAATAAGGCAACTACATGCATTTTCATTTTGAAAGCACCCGATACAATAATTGCCAGGGATTAGAAAAGGCGAAGACAACATTTCAATCTATGCCTCATACCCAAACCATTTAGGATTGGCTAAAAGGTAAATACAACATAATTGGTGAGAAATCATAACGGTAAACAAACATAAGACGAAATACGGAAATAGCATCCTCTACCCAAAGTATATAATAAGAAGATCATGAGAAGTGACCAATAGATAGAGGTGAATGTAAATCTTGATTTGGCTTTAACAAATGGATTCGCTTTATCAAAAATTAAAATATAAACGAGTATGTTGGGCTGTTTGGAGATCTTGATGGTGGAAGTTGGAGACAATGAAGACAAAGCAAGGATATCACTAGGACAACAAGTGGAAGCTGCCTCAGTTTACATAATTCTTACATGATGATGAAAATAATATTATAGTTCCACTTGTTGAAGGAAGTTGGAGGCCCATTTCACTAAAGGTCTCGAACACATAACGCTGAAAGAGGAAACCGTAATTTAAACTTGAATTACCCTGCATAAAACAGCAGAAATATCAATATTAGGTCTCAGATATGATGAGCTGCTTTTTAAGTAATTAATGAAGAAAATTCATACACAGATAGGTCACCCCTCATGCATGACATGCACCACTGTCCGTCAAAAAACTAATCCAATTGCAAAAGAACTCTGTTATACCTACCTTGTGATCAAAGCTATGGTTGACCTAAATTTTTCCTGAAAAGCATAATCTTAGTGACCCAAACCAGCCACCATATCAGGCAAACAACAGATCTTGCATGGAGGAAACTACTCCTAAACCTTGTAAACTATTGAAATAATCAACCAAAATCAACCCCTAAGAGGAAGGTGAGATGGATCTGATTTATCTTTCACAAGCCCATTACTTTCTAAATTCATAATGCAAAAGAAAATCACAACTTTGGCCAATCTTAGTTTTTTTTATAACCGTGAATTTTGTTGTATTTCAGCTTCGAAACTTGGTGGATAATGGGTATGTCCCTCTATCCTTCTCAACTTAAATACCTAACTTGATTCACCAGTAAGACTTGAACTCGTGATATGCACCTACAACACATATCATTGTACTACCTTTACTCGAACCAAAGCCCCCTTCTTATTTACTCCTTGTCAAGTTCAAAATTTGCATTTTTATCTCCTATTACTTAACAATTAATCTTAGGAATAAACTTTTTTTAGGATCAAGTTGCAAATAGATATGAACCAATAATCAACCTTGTAAACAAAAGATCTTGCATGGAGGAAACTACTCCTAAACCATGTAAACTATTGAAATAGTCAACCAAAATCAACCCCTAAGAGGAAGGTGAGATGGATCTGGTTTATCTTTCACAAGACTCTGGTGTCCATTACTTTCTAAATTCATAATGCAAAAGAAAATCACAACTTTGGCCAATCTTAGTTTATTTGATAACCGTGAATTTTGTTGTATTTCAGCTTCGAAACTTGGTGGATAATGGGTATGTCCCTCTATCCTTCTCAACTTAAATACCAGTAAGACTTGAGCTCATGATGTGCACCTATAACACATATCATTGTACTACCTTTACTCGAACCAAAGCCCCCTTCTTATTTACTCCTTGTCAA